GTTTCGTTTTGAGTGAAAACAGGGCGGAAAAGCTGGGAGGTTTTAAAAGAGTGCTAAGAAAATTATACAAATGAATATATGAATTAATTAATTAGTGCTGGGCGGTATGACCAAAAATTTATATCACGGTATTTTCCAAAATTATACGCTTAGTAACACATACAGCTGTTCCCTCAACACAGTGCAACAGTGAAAAGGGACCCCTTTCAAACAGTGTTGCGTTCCGAACGTTGTTTAAGCGACATACACCGGTATTGCGGTATTTAAAAAATTCATATCATAACAAAAATAAACACCGGTATTCGGTATGAACCGGTATACCGCCCAGCACTACATATACACATACATACATACACAAAAGTACCGATAAGAATACCGTTAAAGTACCGGATCAATAAGCAGAATCGGTAAGAGTAGTAGTACTGTTAAAACCTTAACGATACCCATCCCTATTTATAATGTTACAAAATATTTCTAGTAAAGATAAATTCTATTCTTTTGAACTTTCTGTTCATCAAAGTATCCTGAAAAAAAAAAAAAGTATCAGTTTCCACAAAAATGTGAAACAGCACAACGATTTTCAACAAAATGTATCAGTTTCCACAAAAATGTGAAACAGCACAACGATTTTCAACATTGATAATAAAGAAAGTGAAGAGCAGGCAAAAGCATGCACATCAATCTCAACTGGGTGCTCGACTAAGAAACAAATGGAAGATCTTTTGATGTAAAGTCGGCAACACCAAAGCTCCAAAAGTATCAAAAAATTTATTTTTAAAAAAAACTGTCGCATAGCATATGTGACGTTTCGAGCACGCAGGCTCTTCATCAGACAAATGAACAACCAACATACCCCCAATCTTTATAGCAGGATTTAACACAAAATGATGTTCAAACAACCCGCAAAATAAAGATGCAAAACTTGGGGCCATCTTGGAACCCATGCTGACTCCTGAGATCTGCAGATAGTAATCTGACCCAAAGAAAAAATAATTATGTGAAAGCACCAATTTTGCCAAGTCACTCAAACATACAGTGCTTGGAACCTGACAAGGACGTTGATCAAGAAAAAATGTTATTGCCTCTAACCCTCCCTGAAATGGAACATTGGTGTAAAGCGATTCAACATCCATGGTGACTAGAAGGACCGGATAATCAGGTAATGTCACATTATTCATGAGTTCGATAAAATCCATCGTATCTCTAATATAAGAAGGTAAAGACGTGACTAAAGGTTGTAAATGAAAATCAACGAAAGCCGAAATTTTTTCTGTAAGTGACCCAATTGCTGCCACTATGGGTCTCCCAGAAGGGATATCCTTATAAGGTTTGTGAATTTTAGGCAGCGTGTATAGTACCGGTGTGATCGGATGCTCAACACACATGTATTCATATTCATTTTTTGTCAACAAACCTGAATCCACAAACAGTTTTAAAGTATTGTGTACAGATGTTTTGTAATGAGCCAAAGGATTCATACTCAATTTTTTGTAAAAAACTGAATTAGAAAGTTGTCTCTGAATTTCAAATTCATAGTTTTGTCGATCTAAAATAACCACTGCTCCACCTTTATCAGCACTTTGAATAACTATAGAAAAAACTATATTTAAAAAAAAAAAAAATTTTTTGATACTTTTGGAGCTTTGGTGTTGCCGACTTTACATCAAAAAATCCAACATTGATAATAATAAATGTTTCTTAAATCAGCACAGTAGAATGATTTCTGAAGGATCATGTGACACTGAAGACTGGAGTAATGATGCTGAAAATTCAGTTTTGCATCACAGGAATAAATTACATTTTAAAATATATTAAAATAGAAATTGTAATAGCTCACTTCAGTGTGGGCTCGGCAGAAGTGAGCATCGAGGGCGCATAGCGGCCGCAAAGGGGGTGCTTGCGAGCACCCTTCTGAAAGCTAAAATGATGAATGGGACACCCTACGGTCTCGTGGACTTAACGGACACACGCACGCGGCGGCCATTGTAAGTCCACAAGATCGCAAGTTCACATGAAGTGTGCCATTTGGGACAGGGCCACTGTCTTTATGAATGGGTCACTGAATCATTGACTCCTGAATTGTCAACACACCCTCCGATGACAATTTTTACATCACGCTTAATACTCGCCGCGTCAGCACGAGCGCAAAAGTGTGCGCGGCAAAAATGATGTGAATACTGAGGGAACGATGGCGGACGGAAAATGCAGTAGTTCTTCCCATATGGGTTTGCAACAACAGTAAATGCAACAACAAATGTAATTTTTGGGTGAACTATTCCTTTAAGCCATGGCCTGTATTGTTCATGAGCAGATCAATTGGAATGTAGCCTTCCATATGTTGGGAAGAAGGCCTCACCCATCTCACCCAAAACCTCACCCATCAGGAAGCCTGATTTCTAAGTCAAGCTGAAACTTGTGGTAGTTCTCTGCCCCAGAACTGCAGATCTTTACTGACTGAAGGTTATGGAGGCCTTCACATGGTGCCAGTGCTGATTTTGGGTTATTTTCCTCCTTTGAGATGCACTGCAATAAGATCATACAGAAAGGATGGGAGCGGATCCAAGATCTGAAACTGAACCCTCAGGCACTTTGTTTGTTAGTGCCCTGATGTGCATTCGGTAGCATTAGCCAGTCATCATTCGTAGCCTCCTCTGCTCTCAGTGCTGCACAAATGCTGAGACAGGCTGCTTTAGCTGCTTGCTCATGCAAACAGCGTTTAGATACCCTCACTAAAAGTGGTTTTGCTCACTGACTCCGGGTGGCTCTGTTCAAGTGCATTGTGCTCAGCACAAACGGACCAAAGTGAGTAATGAAGGTGGAGATAGCTGCTGAGAGTGCTGAACAATTTATCCAACGTTCATTATGTTTTGAAGGGAAGGGTTTAATAAGCTATGCAATTCCACATTCATTTTCGTCTTGCTACTGATGACATGTGCACTCTTGCGGATGGCACACCAATTGAAATTGTTACAGCTGTTTCTCCTGTCAAAATGCCCAGATACATGAGTATATTTGTCCACCATGGACAGTTTGTGCAGGTCTTGTACTCCTAGTTTCCTCAATAGCAACTCATTGGCAGAAATATGTACTTTGCCATTTTTATTGACCATTTGAAAACAAACTCTGCATCCCTATTCACAGACTTCAAATCAAGATCTTTATTCTTATAAGACAGGTATAACAAGATCTTCAGTCTTCAGTGTCACATGATCCTTTAGAAATCATTCTGATACGCTGATTTGCCGCTCAAGAAACTTTTTTTAACATAATATTATCAATTTTGAAAACAGTTGCACTTTCGTATTTTTGTGGAGACCTTGATACTTTTTATTCAGGATTCTTTCATGAATAAAAAAATTAAATAAAACATTTTTAAAGTAGAAAAAAATATTTTGGTAATCGAGTAATCAGATAAAAACATTTTTTGTGGTAATACAAATAAACCTAAGTGAACAATAGACATTAAAATGACTTATATAATAGCAATAAGGCAATAATTGATTCAAATAAAATATCAAAAGCAAGCTATCATATGGTTTTATTGAACAAAACATGTACATTGTGTACTATATCAAATGCCTGCAGAGGGTGCCAACAGCCTGGTACTTGTTTTTACACTTTACAGCATGATCTAATCCTTGTTTAATATTGACTAAACAACATTAAATTCAAATGTCCACTTAATCTGTAATATTTTGCCACTTCTTTATGATAGAAATGCTAGAGCCACTGTCATTCCTCGAACAAGAACATGTGGACATCAAAACATGCAAACTCAGAGTGAGGGTTTAAACTTTTGAACAGTTAGCATATTTAGAAAGATATTCTTCTGTATATCTTCTGTATTCTGATGTATTCTTCTGTGTTGGTGTAGGTTGATAAATGATTTGCCTTATAAATTTGATAGAATGGTGCACATTGTTCCCAGTTGAACATCATAAGCAACCTTACAATAGCACTATGCATTACTATGATTTTAAATGGGTTTTAATATTTCGTGCAGCCTCAGAAAATGGCCTAATAATGTTTTTCATGGATCCTCGACCGTGGAATGCACCACTTCTGGTAATTTGTCAGTTAATCGACACGTGTCAATGCAATCAACGATTTTTATAATAGAGTTCTCGAATTTAATCAAGGAATAGTGACAGCTCTAAAAAAGGCATTTGTTCTGTCGTGTACTTAGTTACTATGCAATATAAATATACTGTGTGGCCAAGATTATGTGGACACCTGCTTCTAATTAAAAGGTTTGGCAATTTCAGATGCACCCTGCCTTCAACTACTCTTGGGAAGCTTTTATATCTGAGCTGTGATGTCACACAATCCAAAGTAGACAAAACAAATAAACCTTTTTTTTTTTTTGTACAATTGGATTGTACTGCTGTGGTTGGGAGGTTGATTATCATGGTTTTTCTTGGATCAAAGCAGACTATTAATTGTTTGTTGTGTTTTTGGAGATGTCTGTAAAGTGTTACTAATTTGTTATGTTCTGCAGAGCCTTCAGGAAGTCCTGCAAAGGATCATTTCAGGATGAACCGCTACAAGAACAAAGCACTCAACCTGGAGGAGATGCGTCGGAGAAGGGAGGAGGAAGGCATTCAGCTGAGGAAACAGAAACGAGAGCAACAGGTGACTGTCCACTTGCTTTGTTTATTTGTTTGTTTGTTTTCATGTTCCTTATATTACCTTTTCTTTAAAGGTAACTTGAAAATATAATAAACCCCATTGAATTTAATATAAATGTTTTTGGTTTTATTGTGCACAGTTAAAAAAAAAATCTTCATAATCATCCACCGTTAATATGACTTTTACACTACCATTCAAAACTTTGGGGGTTTGTAATATTGTCAAATATTATTTGGGATAAGAATATTTTGTAACATTATCCCATACATCCTTTTCACATTGACTATGCTGATACATAAGTTAAATGGTCTGTGAATGCTGTTTCATGTTAACGTTAACTGTCACATCAATTGATGCAATTTGCACTATTGATTCTCTATTTTTCTCTTGGCAGCTGTTTAAGAGGAGAAATGTGGAGCTGCTGGGGGAAGAAGGGGGAATGTTTGACAGTCCACTTACGGATTCCTACATCTCCTCCACCACAGCACCAGTGAGTTCAAACACAAATGCATAGTTTGCTTTCTCCCATTATGTCACTTACAGGTAGAGTTGGGTATCGAAAACCGGTTCCATTTTAGAACCGGTTCCAAATGTCCTAGAACCGGGTATTCGATAAGACGCGTGCATTTCGATTCTGCTTAACGATTCCTGCGTTCGCATTTTAATGTGATTAAAAAATATTTAAGTGCATGCGATTTAAGTGCAGGAACGGAAAGAACTTGCGCCCTGTTTGCGTCTCGAACCGTTCTGTGTATTTCCACTGTAGAAAAGGTTGTTCCGGGCCGAAACTGACTTCTTTCATATTTGTCGACCAATATGCAGAAAACTACGTCAGTATATCATCATAAACACAGCCATTTTTGTCTTACAAGAACGTAAACAGATGAGCAAGAAAACACACATGTACAGTATTTTTAGATCTGCGTGCATTCGGTGTTAAAGAGACAGCAGTCTAATAAACGCGCTTCCTGTCATTAATGTTAATCAAAGAACAAAAGCAAATCATTCACTGATCTTGACTGAATATATTTACCGTATTGTCCCGAATATAAGATGATGTTTTTTTCTTGGAAATACATCTGAAAAAACGCGGTCGTCTTATATTCAGGGTCTAGACTTTGACATGTCAATAATACACCCACAACAATAGGTGGTGCCAAAACCGCATAAAACGAGTGTGCCATGAAATACGTAACAGGCAGAGGTAACACTGGGTCTGTTGTTAGTAGTGCATTATGACCCCTTAATTCAATAAGCACTATTGATTTGGACTTCTCAGAGGTGCAAACCTGGGTCGAAAACAAATTACGGTCATTGATCTAGACCAAATTTGTCCTGTGTTTTTTAGGATGGAGTAATTACAAGAGACATGGTTGAAATGCTCTTCTCAGAAGATCCTGAACTACAACTGGTCACAACACAGAGATTCAGAAAACTGCTTTCCAAAGGTATCTGGCACAAACACATGTCTGGAGTTGCCTAGAAGCGTGTCTGAGTTTTAATAAATCAATCTTCATATTGTTCAGAACCAAACCCTCCTATTGACGAGGTTATAAGCACACCGGGAGTTGTGAATAGATTCGTTGAGTTCCTTCAGAAAAGTACCAATTGCACTTTACAGGTGAGATGTGATGAAATAAAGCTAAACTAGTTTCTTCATTTAAAGTTATAAATTCAGATCCTTGAATGTGTCTCCCCCCCCCCCCAAGTTTGAGGCCGCTTGGGCACTGACCAACATCGCATCTGGAACATCTCAACAGACAAAGTTTGTGATCGAGGCCGGTGCTGTACCTCTCTTTATCGAGCTTCTCAACTCAGAGTTTGAAGACGTGCAGGAGCAGGTACAAGTTATGAAGCTGCAAGGGATAAGTCACCTTGTTTTGTTTGTGCTAAACGAGTATAAATCCCATGTGGTTATGTTAATGAATCTTTGTGTCACAGGCTGTTTGGGCTTTGGGGAACATTGCGGGAGACAGCGCTGTGTGCAGAGATTATGTGCTAAACTGTAATATCCTTTCTCCTCTACTAATGTGAGTTCTCAGTTTTTCTGTTTACCTTACACAAGACCACAGTATTGGCATTTATCTGACATAGCAATGACTTTAACATCATCTGCGGAAGAAACAAACATTTTTTGCTTAAGATAAGGATTGAATGTTTCCTTGTTACTTTTTCCCCCAGGCTGTTGACCAAATCAACTCGTCTCACAATGACCAGGAATGCTGTGTGGGCCTTGTCCAACCTCTGCAGAGGCAAAAGTCCACCCCCAGACTTTGAGAAGGTCTGTACTGCTTGTCTGTCCCTTGACAACACTCTTTATTTTCCTTATGTTTAAGAAGGCACTTTATGCGTTCAAAAGGTCTCATGTGTCATAGGTCTCAGTGTCTCATATGACAGTGAAGAGTGGAGTAATGGCTGCTGAAAATTTAGCTTAATCATCGCAGGAATAAATTGCATATTAAATTGCAATTGGTGTGCCATCCGCAAGAGTGCACATGTCGTCAGTAGCAAGACGAAAATTAATGTGGAATTGCATAGCTTATTAAACCCTTCCCTTCAAAACATAAAATTTTCTTTTTTTAGCTGTTTTTGCATTTAGTTAGGTTTCTGGCATGTCTGCCAGCTCAGAAAAGCTGAAAAGAAAACAGGCAGCCAGTTTGTTATGGGCTGTCTTGAGTCTGAAACTGTCATCCAGCGAGTTGTTTCAGTTTGCAGCCGGTTTCTATGTAGATAGCTAGCTAGCTATTTGAATAAGACCGCCTCCGAGCCATATACGGAGTCCAAGGCAGCAATTCACGTGTCTTGTGTCGACACGCCCCACAGATGAGAGGAGTGGGCCGAACAGTAGCTCATTATTATTTAAAGAGACATGCACTGAAATGAGTCGCTGTGATCATGTTTTACATGGTAAAAAGGGTGTTGTTTTACATGTCCATTGAGGAAGTTTAACTAAAGTATGTTACAGACATTTCATGAATACCCTAAAGAATCATACCAACTTGTGGAAAATAGGCATCCGCAGGGCTCGCAAAATTTCAAAATCGCTGGTAGCCCTTCGGGCAGACATTCTTCAGATTTTGGTAGCCCAAAATGAATTTAAGTAGCCCGAATATAAAAAAAAAAAAAGACACCGGCTGAAATTCACTGTGGACAAATTAGCTTCGTTGATTGCTTTTTTTCTTCAAATAACAAGTCAAGAGAGTAGGGGTGCAACGGATCACAAAACCCACGACTCGGATCATATTGCATTATCATATCAGATTTTGAGTAACAGATCGGATCATTTTGCAGATGAGCAAAAAAATATGGTTCTTTATTATTAAAATAACATACTTCTTTGATACCACATCAAAAACTAGTAGCATATAGGGATGTAACGATTCACTGAACTCACGGTGCGATGTTATTCATGATACTGATTTCACAATACAATTTTCTCACAATTTTTCTTTAACAAAATGAGATCTAAGACAAATTATAAATGAAAAAGTGTCCTTTTATTATTTCTCCAACAAAATGCTGCACATTTCTTTGTGAAATTAAATGTCAAATAATAAAACTAACTTAAAATTTTAAAACATAAATAAATACAAATAAAATAAATCTCTTCATACAAACAAACTAAGGCTTTGACTGTGCTTTTTCCATTTAAAATCAGAGGCAACCACTGCATTTTAATCACGATCCAAACAAAGATGCTAAATACATGTTATTTAGATTGACTTATTGCTGTGGATCCCCGGATCGGCTTTCACCGTTTTCACCGCTCCTTTGCCGAACCGCCGTTCTCGACTCCGCCGCCTCAGCGCACCCTTGCCCGGCTTCAGCTCACGCTAAGCCGGGGCTTTCGCTCATGCGCAAATCAAGGAAGGAATTTTATATCACTGTTCAAGATAGCCCGTCGGACAGGGTGGTAAAACATTTTGGTAGCCCGACTGGAAAACACAATAGCCCCGGGACGTCGGGCTAGCGATTTTGCGAGCCCTGATCCGATCTTCCCTTTAAAAGTATATTCAAATAGAAAACAGTTGGTTTCAATTTTACAATTTCACAATATTATTGTTTTTACTGCACTTTTGATCAAATAAATGCAAACAAATGGTGACTGCATTTATATATATATATATATATATATATATATAAAAACGTCTTTTAAAATCATTGAAAAAATCCCAAACTTTTAAACAGTAGTGTACATTTCAGTAAAATCTCAACTATTATGTATCAAATGAAAGGAGTGTTTTTACACATGACTATCAGTGACGTCATGTCATTGTGTATTGTGTTTTTTTATTTTGTATTTTTATTTACGTATTTATTTTATTTTTTTTATAAATCAATCTAGATGCTAAGTGCCACTTAATCCACAGACTTCATATTGAAAGCTGTCTTTTGCTCTTGTAGGTGTCCCCATGCCTGCCTGTGCTGTCCCGTCTTTTGTTCAGCAGTGATTCAGACCTGCTGGCTGATGCCTGTTGGGCTTTGTCCTATCTCTCTGATGGGCCCAATGAGAAGATCCAAGCAGTTATTGATTCAGGGGTCTGCAGGAGGCTGGTGGAGCTACTCATGTGAGTCCGCTATTATGACTAAATTGTCATTTCTAAATCATATTGAAACTGCTACACTTTTAAGTTCCATAATGACATATTTCAATGTGAATCTGAATTTTCAGCAGGACGTAAGGCCAAAGTGTCATAATTGACTTATGAGCTATATTCCAAATGATTGTGAAAACAAACTTTAAATAGGATCTAATTTGATTTCACATTATTTTTCTAGCTTAGTATTACAGTAGCAGAATGTGTATCGACAGATTTTTGAACTTTATTTGAGCTTTACCTAAACCAGTGGTTCTTAGAAAACATCCAACAGGTCCGCAGGCTGTATTATTAGTAATATATTTAAATAATGAAATTCTAATTTACATTAAAATGTGGGAAAAAAAACAAGATGCATACTGAAATAATTTTTCTTATAACTGTCTTTATTGGGGAAAAGTTTTTCTATATAATATATTGTTCCATTTATAATATAGTCGGCACAGCATCGTCTTTTAGTTTTAATCTTTCTGAAAATCATGCGTCGAATTGTGCCATGACTGTAAATGAATCCGCGGTAAAATGAAGTGAACAAAGGACAAAGTTCTTACTGACGTGGTCTGGATCTTCATTAAAAATAAAGTTCATAAGGCTGTGAGGGATAGACTTGCAGTCTTTATAATGGCACGCTCTGTATAAAGGTTCTAAATCATGTAATTTTCACAACTCTCACCTTTCAGAGTTTTTGTCTACTGAAATTTTTTTCAGCTGAATAATCAGTATATTGTTTAATAAAAGTTCACACTGTACTGCTATACTTTACAGATTGTTTTCATTCCTGTCAAAAATTAAATATGGCACTACCCTGACTAAGGTCTATATCAGGGGGCCTTCAAATATTGTGTTGGACAACCGGGGACCTTTGAGTCAAAAAGTTTGAGAACTGCTGTTCTTGATGACCTCTTTCCTCTGTTCTTGCAGGCATACCGATTACAAGGTGGCCTCTCCTGCTCTGAGGGCCGTTGGAAACATTGTTACAGGAGATGACATTCAGACACAGGTGTGTTAGTATGTGAGCAGATGTATTTCTTCATCTTCATGTATGATTATCTCTGGTTTCGAACAGGAGATGGATGGTCTCCTTATGCTTCTATTCTCTCTGACCTAGGTGGTGTTGAACTGCTCAGCTCTCCCCTGCCTCCTGCACCTGCTCAGTAGTGCCAAGGAATCCATCAGGAAGGAGGCCTGCTGGACTATCTCCAACATCACAGCGGGAAACAGAGCGCAGATTCAGGTACATCCTGACCCACACTCCACATCTGCTACCAAGAAGCACACTCACAGGGCTCAGCTTGTTTATCGTGTGCGGCAGGGTTGCACGGCTGCGCCCTCAAACCTTCAAAGGAGTGGTCCTGTTTATAGTGTCTACTTGGGATTTATTTTTGGATTTAAGGATGATTTTAATCCTGTGTTCTTTTTCTCACCCGTCATCATCATCTTCTGCAGACCGTAATAGATGCAAACATCTTCCCAGTCTTGATAGATATCCTACAGAAAGCAGAATTCCGCACCAGGAAGGAGGCGGTGTGGGCGATCACTAATGCCACGTCAGGTGGCACACCTGAGCAGATCAGGTGAGCTCTGAGCATGTGCTTACAGACAGCTCGTTTTAAGCATCTTAAGCATTCAGACTTCTGACAAACTTGTCACAAAGCCTGGCATACCATTTACCATCGCTTTGAGAATCAGGTCATTGACATGGAGCTCATTTTTGGCGAGCTGCATGCCAAAACATGCTGATCAAATAACAACATAGGAACTGATATCATGGAGAGGACCCCTGCTGACCCTTATGACTGTGTATCAAGGTCATTGATTCACCTAAAATATCAGATAATTTGACCTTATTATGACAAGACCAGGGTAGTTCAGGCTGTAAAATGTCATGTGGTGCGACTTCCTAGAGAATTACAAAAAAATACCTTTTATCTTTGAAATATTAAAATAATAATATTTTTTTTCAGTGTGTACGGAAAATATGAGTAATTCAGTTTAAACGTTTGATAAATTGTATAAACATTTTTCAAAACTGAATGAATAACTAAGAATGAGAATGTATAAGAATCTAAGAATGTCTTTTAAAGTAGATTTTTCCTTTTTCTTTTACCTTTTTCTTCTTCGTTTACCCTCTTATTTACAAGTACAAGTTTGATTGCAACATATAATCATTGCTGTTAATAGTGTTCATCGTCTGTTTGATTACGTCATTAACTGAATTTTACCATACATTTCTGCCATATGTACATTAACTAACATAGTCACCACTGATAAGATACTACTAAATATATTGTAGAAACTTAATTTCCTGTAAAGCTGCTTTGCAACTATTTTTATCGTGAAAAGCGCCATACAAATAAACTTGAATTGAATTATTGGTCAAAGACCCAGTTGTAGACCTACAGTTGGCTTTGCATTCATATTTACATAATTTTTCATGGCCAATCCTGATTTCCTATTGTTTGTTTGTTTTTTTTGTTTGTTTTTTTATTAATGAATGGGCCGATACGGATTGCTTTTTGCTTTCTGTCTTTAAGCAAGCAACAACAAAGAAATTAAAGAGAACATCTTGCTCCATTACAGACCAAACTGGCCTTAAAGAAAAAGAAATATAATTTGAAGTTAGAGGCAAACATTGCATTTTAATCATGATCCAAACAAAGATGCTACATGCATTTAGCATGAGCAGATGTTTTTGCGAATGTGTCTGAATAGTCTGACTTTATCTTTGTGAAATTATGCTACATAAAACAACTGCAAAAAAAAAACAAAAAACAGATGGGCTGAATGAAAATGTAAATTCACTCTCTGACAGTAGATGGCACTTGTGGAATAGAAGTGATGCAAGAACATGCTAAAATTTTCCGGACAGTCAGTTCCCTTCAGAGATGCATTCATATAAACCTCAAAATGTCTGGTTACGATTGATGGCCAGTCGACTGGTGCATCTCGAATATTTACCCTCTTTACATGTATGTGTCAGACAGCCTCTTTTTGTCTGTGTGGGTGATTCTTGGTCAAAATAAGCAGCAGTGTGTGCACAAACTCCTGATCGTCAATATGTCTGGCTTTTTGAGTCACAGTAGTCAAGTCACATGACATCATTGGTTGAGGGAGAATAAAGATATAATTGAGTTAGAGCTGACCTCAGAAATAAATTCTCAAGATAGTTTAAGTTTAGCATGGGAGCCCATTTAAGCCCGTCTGGCCAAGTTGGGCCTTCTCAGAAGGCTATTAGCATGGCACAGCACAAGCGCTAATATTGGAGAAGTTGTCACCAGGGAGCACTTGTGATGTGTTTATCCAGTTTGAGTTGCAATGTGGTTTTCATGCCGTCTAGTGAGATCGCACAGTCTGAAAGCAGCGGTGTGCTTAAAGTGTTAAAGTATCACTATGCACACTTACAGCAAATGGCTGCAGTTTTTATCAGACATGCACTTATGGTATTTAGCCACAGCCAAAACAGTGCTTCATTAAATGTATCAGCCTATAATGTATACTTACTGAGTGCTTCCTTTGACATAAGCGTAGCAACAACTTACCAAGATCTCATCTAATTGTGTTTATAATGTACGAGACATGTTTTTAACTGGAGTGTTACATAAGTGTGGTGTTATGACTTGACATTATTATTGATGTTTTATGAATAAGCTTTACTTTTGTTTTGTGTCCAAGGCATTTTATTTAATCATTTATTTAAGATGTTTCTTGGTCTACTTTTAGACTGAAAGATAGTTTTGGCTGTAATAATAATAGATTTTGCTTTCCTCCTGTCCTTTCACGTTCCACATTGCTTAAATGTTTTTTAGAATCAGTGAATAAGAAAGGAAACTAGAGACAGTTGCTAGCTTGTTCATTTGCTGAACTTGGGATGTTTGACCCGTGCTCATGGTATCATTGTGTGTCTAAATCTGAAATGCAGATTCCGTTTTACACAGTGATTTGATGGGCATGGCTTGCCAAATATAAATTCTCTCATCTTCAGTTTATTGTATTGAGGGAAATTAAATTATGATGTTTATTTTCTGAGAAATTAAGTACTGAAGGACAAATATTGTCCCAGTCATACTGGTGCATGGCTAGTTTTACAAATTGATTCATTCCACGAATTACACAAAGCAGCAGAAGAGGGATTACATAATATTCTGTGCCAAAAAATAAATCAGTTATTGGACTTTATTTTCGAGGACAGTATTCCAAGCACAATGTTTTTTTGGATTGCATTTCCTATTCAATTAAGACAGAATATGGTGACACACATGCTGTTGCTTATTATTCCCTTACCTGTCAACTGGATAGACTAACAAAAACATTATAATGCAACGACACTTACATCGTCATAGCATCTCGTGCGCCACTGATAAGGCTGCCTCCTTAACGCACACCTAAAATTCGAATGCAACATTTTTGCATTCGAATGTGGATTTTTATTTTAAATTCGACAAATATTCGAAATTTGAATTTATTTTTTTTGACAGCCCTAATAAGCAGTAATTAGGAGTTTATTGAGGGAAAACTTGTATAGTGAGTGTGTTCCCTAATCTAAAGTGTTTCCAACAATGTTAAAAAGAGTAATTTTTTTTATTTTATTTTTTGTGTATGGTAAAAACAAATCTTTTGAGCTTTCTATTTATCAATATACAAGTCTTTACTGGGACTTTTTTTAATCAATTTAGTGCATCCTTGCTGAATAAAAAAACATAAATAAAAACCAATCAAAGAAATATATGTAACTCTCGCTGTCTTTCTCTCTCTTTCTCCTCTTGCCAGGTTTGGACAAAATCGAGTTCCTACAGAGTCATGAAAATCAGGAGATCTACCAGAAAGCCTTTGACCTCATCGAGCACTATTTTGGAGTAGAGGAAGAGGATGCCAGTCTGGCACCACAGGTGGATGAGAACCAGCAGCAGTTTCTTTTCCCGCAGCAGGAGGCCCCCATGGAGGGCTTCCAACTATAACCAACCTTCAGACACTTCCCGGCCGCCCCTTCCCTTTACACCCATCCCTGCACCCCATACCGGTACTAAAACATACGTCGGAAACACTCAGAGTGCAACCATTCATATCTGGGTGAAGCAAATTTTCGACCCGTGACACAGACTGATTTATTTATTCACTGAGGTGTGTCTCACACAGGGGGAACATATCCACTGCCCTGTCACACACAAGAGAGCTGGATTTTAGTTTCTTTCATTTCCCCCCCCTCAGTGATGCAGCTAAATAATCATCTACCTCAGGTAGAGATTGTGGTGCTGTCTTTTTTTTTTTTTTTTTTTTTTTTTGGGGG